GTTAAAGAATCATATCAACTTGTGCAAAATGGGCATCCGATGACCCCTTTAATGCTCAAACAGCAACATTACACACTAACTAACGTTAAAAAAGTGAAATCGCAATGAACCACCGCTTTAAAGAGAACATACAAGGTTGGTATTTTCAGAACGTTGGTATTTTTATTCTGATTATTTTTTTTGTGTGTTTTATAAACTATTTAATTTTGATTACTTTTTAAAAATGTTAGATGTTGCAGTGCAGCATTTTTAAAACATTTTTAAAACCGTGTTACCTGATTGCAACTAAAATACAGTGTTGTGAAATGTGTTTACAATGTTTACTTTTAATGGCATCCCGGATGGTGTTTTTCCCATTTTATGGAACTTGCACTGTGTCCTTTAGCGGACACTATGGTGACTGCCACCGGCAGGACCAGTTTCTGAAGCATGTGTGAAACAACTCAAACCCCATTGGCCCACATAGCCTGTGACGTCACATCACCCGTGTCTGAGGTTTCTGACACCCAAGGACATACATCCAGTTGAGCAGCATGCGTGTATGGTGATCGAGGGCTCTGAATGTGCTCATTGTGAGAAATCTCAATGAAAAAGCTCTGTTTGCATTTGTCCCCCTACTCGTGGGATGAGGTACAAGGGTTTACATCTCACAGTTCAGGTCCCACTGCTGCTGAGGCACGGTGTAGACTCAGATTGGGATGTTCGTGGGTCGAGCTTACAAAAAAGTTTGAGAAGGGTATGGATCTTCATGGGTGAAAACGTCATGGGTTTTCAAGTAGGCAGCCCCCTGAGCCCTTTCCTAGCTGTCTCCCCGTTGGGGTTTTAAGTAGATTGCCAACTTCCCTTTACCCCTTAAGCTTAGCCAGGTAGTAGGGGTGGGCTGCTCCCCCTTCCTACAGGATGTTTAAATGGGCTGTCCCCCTGGGCTCTACATGCTGCTTTGGCTCACTGTAACAGCCTTCTGAGGATAGCTGTGTTCTTAGCTTGGTTAATGGAGTGTCCCTCCTGGGTTCCCCATTTTTTTCCGAGTTATGTTAGTGGCCCAAGGCATCAGTGGCTTGCCCCCTTTCTAAGGGAAGGTTTGTGTATGTCTGTCGCTTCCTTTGGTGCTCTTTCACCAGGTGAACAGGCATGTGCCACAGCACGGCTTACTGGGCATTCCGTTCCCCATAGTGTCCACTAGAGGATGCAGCATGAGATCCCTACAAGGGGAACGTCTCTGTCTCGTTCCCCCTCGGAACATGCGTAACCACTGCATCCCTTCGCCATGCCTAGGGCTTGCCTGTTTTCAAATCTCCTTCAGACAACTGAGTTGGTTACGTATTCGGCAGGCGCCCTCTTATACTTCCGGGCTCCCGCCTGTGACGTCACGGGCTGTGTGGGCCAATGGGATTGGAGTTGTTTCACACATGCTTCAGAAACCCGGTCATGCTGGCGGCAGTCCCCATAGTGTCCTCTCAGGGAACCATGGTTACATACGTTACCAAAGACGTTTGTTCAGAGTGTTTGACTTCAGATAGTTTTGTAAATGAGGTGCAATGTAATGAATAGTTCATAAGGAAACTTTCATTGAATGATAAAAATGTTCAGCTGTAATAAATCTGAAAGCAGCTGCATCACAAACCATAAGTAAATTATTTCATAACGCTTTGTCTGTAAATGATAGTTTTCAAAACTCATATATATATATATATATTAGTTTTTTTTGTTTGTTTTTTTGTGAACAGTTATTAACATAAGCGAACCTCAAGGAACACATTAAAATAATTTTAAAAATCCATGTCATGACCTGTTTACTGCATTAGTTGAAAAATAGTATGAAATATTTTTCTAATATTTGTATTACTTTAATTAAAGGTCCCATATTGTCAAAACTGAAATTTCCTGGCTTTTTTCATGATAACTGAGGTCTAGGGGCTATTTAACTACCATATAAGTTTCAAAACAGTCAGTCCACAGTAAAATGCACACAGCCTGCATAAAGTAGCTGTGATATTTCACGAACCGTTCGTTGTGACTTCCATAAAAAGTTGACGTCAGAACTCCACAGTCACAGCCTTCAGTCACCCCTCCAAGCACCGCCCACTGTCCCACTCTCCTTTTGCCAAACCCCCAGACAACATCGCGTCCATGCCATTGCTGATCAACAACAACACAGAAACATGTTGAAAAGGTTAACTTTAACAACGAAACCAGATTGGCCGAACTGTAACGTTACACTCTCACTCAAAGGATGGACGATCTCAGCTGTCGTCGGTTTTTTGTCTGGCAGTGGCAGCAGATATGCGATCAAATTTCTAATTTGAGGCTGTATTACGTCGATTCTGGCACCCAACATTACAACAAAATGATATTTTAAGCTCCTTATGTAGCCGAATCTGCGCTGGTTTGAATGGGCCGCCTCCAGTTTCCCCTTTGTTTTGCTGCCTCCAGCTAGCGCTGTGACGTCGCTGACCCTAGTTACCTGTGGTTGGCCTGGCCGTGCTGTCACTCAAAAAACAACAGACCAATCAGAAGAGAGGCTCATGAATATTAATTAGACAGGCCAAAATTGACCTGTTCTCAGCAGAGCTCCAGAGAGAGGAGCTGAAAAAAAAAATATTGAGACACAATATGTGACCTTATAAATAGGTTGAAATAAAATGTTGAGGTAATTATTGTTCAGTGCCATGAAATATTATAGTCAAATTTTCATAGCTACACTTTTTTGTAAAAATAATAATAATGAAATCAATCAATCACTACATTATAGAAGAATCAACAGCTCAGTCAATGTTCTGCAGAAACACACATTTAGTCTGAACACAGTATCTTACTGTCAGTATTTTTCCTGTAAACTTTATCAAAGCATAGCCAAATTGCGGGTAAAAATCAGCTGTGGCGGGTAACGCTGTCAAATCACTAGCCAATTTAGTGGGTTACCATTCGTAAATTATGTTCACGCATTTATCTCTTGTGGAAGTTCAAGTAAGCCAAATCTGCGCAGATTTAGGGCAAATACTGAACTCGTGAGTCATCATGTATTTCAAATACAGCCTAATTGCGCAGAAATCTGCGGATTTCTAGCTCACTTGAATGTACCCATTATTAACGGTGCGCTGGTTTCCTTCGCATTGAAGCAATAGTGAAGAGTCGAAAAACAACTGAAGACTCACACAGTGTCTATACCAGGCGCGAGCAGTGCGATGCGACAAAATACAATAGAACCCATTATAATCAGTGATGCTACTGGATGCAGCGCAGTGCGACGCAGCTCAACAAATCCCCAACAGTAAACTGTGTCAGTACATCATAAATAGAATGATGCATCAAAGTAGAAAATGATTTGCAACGGACACTTTGTCGCATCCAGTGTGGACAGCCTCTGAAGCTCGTTTATTCCCGGTTGTTGTTGTTTTTTTGGCTAATAGAAGTTATGAATGGCTGGTAGCTTAAAAGTTTAATGGCCAAATTGGCCGGTGAGTGAAAAGGGTAATTTCAAAACCTGGTAATGATGTATGAATATGTACTGTATAAGTAAGGGATAGATGAACGGCTAGCTGTGCATTAAGCGGAGTGCATTCAAATTGTTTAATGCACAGCTAGTCGCACATTATGCTGCTTATACCAAGGTCATTTGCCTGCATTGACAAGTAGTGCAGCAAAATATTTGACCAGAAGGGTAAAAATTACGGTTATGCAGTTATGGCTTGTTAGCTGTAGCATTCTGTTCAAATCAGACACAAAGATGAAATAGTGCTGTAAGATCACATTTATTTCAATATATTAATTACAACATTTATTTGAATTAATGATCGATCAATAGAGAAAGAGAGAGCGAGAAAGAGAGATGACAGTTGTGTGTAAATTACCTGTGTCTATGCTTCTCTCTTTACAAACAATGAAGCTGTGAGTTTAGTTACTTCAAACAGCGATTTTACCTTCTTGTTGCTGAGAAATATAATGTAGCAATCAGTACTGAATCTATTTTATTCTATTTTAGTCTCAAGCCAGCGTTGCCAACAGGTTTATGTGCTTCTGGATGTTTCTCTGTGTGTGCAGCGTGATCTCTCTCTCTCTTGGTGCGAGTGATGTGTGTTTGTGAAAGCAGTGCGTTAATATAGAATGGTGATTAAACTGACTTGGAACTACCTGTGCATTAAACTATGTTAATGCACACCTGCCAGCCAATCAGAATCGAGTATCGACAGACCATGGTATAATGTTAATTATTATATTTATTTCTCTGTTTGCGTCTGTCAGAGTTTCCTGTGAAATTCTGCTTTCATATTTAAGATTTACTGCATTTGATTTCATGGTTTGAGACACAAACACTCGTCTCACCACTGGAGTTTCGTCAAGCAAGTGCAGGAAGAAATGTTATTGCTGCAGAATCTCTTTTATTTGCTGTGAGATTTATTATATCATATCTGTAGTGCTATTCATTTTAGCACTTTTGTAGCATGTTTACAATATTGCTAGTATGTTTAAATCATGTTGTTTTATCTTGATTGTCTTGCTTACATAATCATCAGAACCTAAAATCATAAATGGAAATATAATTTGGTTAATCATGCTACACTGTGTGTGTGTGTGTGTGTGTGTGTGTGTGTTTACTGATCAAATGTGACTCTGTGTGTTTTCTAGTGTGGATCATGGAGGAGAATCCAGGATTACAGCAGGACTAAAGAAATGTACATCTACACACACACACACACACACACACACGTCTGGTGCACTATCCTTGAAGGGACTCTCCATAGGCGTAATGGTTTTTATACTGTACAAACTGTATTTTCTATCACCCTACACCTAAACCTACCCCTTACAGAAAACTACTGGCAATTTTTTTATTTAATTAAACACCGTTTTGTATGTTTTTTTAAGCCTTTTGTTTTACGGGGACACAGGAATTGTGTTCATAAACCATGTTTACGTTGTAGCACACGTCATTATACACATTTGTGTCCTCATAAACCATATATACCAGTACACACACTACACACAGCTTTAGTGATTGTTGTCGTTGTAATAAATGTCTCTGTTCTTGTGTTCAGATGCCTGTTTTCTCACACTGGATCCAAACACAGCACACACTGAACTCATTCTGTCTGAGGAGAACAGAGAGGTGACCCGTGTGGAAGAGGATCAGCCGTATCCTGATCATCCAGACAGATTTGATGAGTGGCCTCAGGTGTTGTGTAGAGAGAGTGTGTGTGGACGCTGTTACTGGGAGATTGAGTGGAGTGGAGATAATGTGTTAATATCTGTGTCATATAAGAGCATCAGCAGGAAGGGAGGTGTGGAGTGTGTGTTTGGATATAATGATCAGTCCTGGAGTTTGATCTGCTCTCACTACAGATACTCATTCAGACACAATGACACACTGAATGTTCTCCCAGTAAAACCCATCAGCAGGAGAATAAGAGGGTTTAATTATGTCAGGAGAATAGGAGTGTTTGTGGATCACAGTGCAGGAACTCTGTCCTTCTACAGCGTCTCTGACACAATGAGACATATACACACAGTCCAGACCACATTCACTCAGCCCCTCTATCCTGGGTTTACTGTTTATGGATCAGTTAAACTGTATTGATGAATTGGAAGAGACTGACGAGAGATTCTACCCATGATGCTTTGAGCAGCATGATGAATGTCTAACAGTGAGATGTTATAGAGTCTCTTCATGACATTAAGGGTGCTTTCACACTTGATTCGATTGCTTGGTCCGAACCCGAGTTTGATTGCTCCCCCCTCCTCCTGCCCCCGCTGGACTGTGTTCACATTATATTATTTGGGTCCAAACCACGGTTAGTCTGTGTCATCAAGCCAGCAGCTGTTTACCCCATTGCTTAGTAACGATGGCGCAGGAGAAGACAGCAAAATGCGTAGCACTGCTATCTTCAATTTTATATTCATGTTTTTGAAACGTTGGTTTTATTTCCAAAGCTTCAGTACATAACGGCACTTACGTCTGCCTTACGAATGTACTGCAAATCCTCTGACGCTGAACGCTGAAGGCGAACAGAAATGATATATACAGCTCTCTGCTTGCAACGCGTCAGTCACACTCGTCAGGAAAGTGAGTGAAACACGCACATTTTTATCAAATAATACGTCATTAATAGCGGTTCACTTTCGTGATTTGGTACGATTGCATTCAAATCAGCAGCGAACCGTACCGGAGTTCACTTGAACCATACCCCAGACCACCCTTTTTAAGCGGACTCGGGTACGGTTCGCAGGTGCACACCCTAGTTTGAAAGACCCCGTTCACATCATCCAAACGTACTGAACTCTGACGTCAATCGAACCCGGGTGCGCACCAAAAGTGCTAGTGCGAAAGCACCCTAATACTGCAGCTGAACTTCTGTCAGTGACATAACAGTCAGAATAAATCTGTCATAAATCCTCATATAGACAGTGAGAGCAGTGTGTGCGTGAGTCCTGCTGAGTGATGATGTGTATCTGTGCTTTTCTCATCCTACATTTATATTTTTATCATTAATAATTAGGGGCCAAGCACCGAAGGTGCATAGTTACCTATTGTATCCATTAGTATTCTTATTATTAGGGGCCAAGCCCCTAAGGGGCTGTAGCCCCTATTGTATCTGTATGTATAGACCAATTTCAGTGTTTGCAAACAGTGATGCCGTTTTTTGTGGGCGGAATCTATCTGTTGGCGGAAAATTTCAGTTTTAAAGTAGCAGTCTATGCAAGCCATGGAATAAAAGGATCAAAAAGGTCATTTTGAGTTTATATTTCAAAATTATGACTTTTTTCTTGCAATTCTGAGATTATATCTCACAATTCTGGTAAGAAAAAATAAACTTGTCATTCTCGAGTTTTTTCTCAGAATTGACAATCTCGCAATTGTTGAGTTGAATCAAGTTATAAAGTCCGAACTAGGAGATATAAACTTGCATTTGCAAGAAAAAAAGTCAGAATTGTGAGATAAAATAGATAATGCTATGTAAAATGTTATAGGTTCAAATAGTATTTCATGCTTTAACTGTAGGGCTAATACAATATGTCCCCTATGTAATTATTAGATCTATTGTTTATTAGACCTATTGTTTAAATCAAATTTATGCTTTAAAAGTATGCGTAATAATAGTGGATTTCATCATAGTTTGCCCGTTTAAACGTCTGCGTTTAGCTTCAAATGGCGTCTTTGGTGACAGTACTAATGAACTCCTCGACCAGCTAACCATCAGCACTGAGCCTCAGAGAACACCACAAGAACCAAACAAGTCCTCTGCGCAGGTTTAAAGGGGGGCGCAACCAAAAAAGTTTGAGAACCACTGGTCTAAAGTTAACAGACAGTGTTAATATGTAAACATGTGCAGTGCACATGTTTACATATGTTTATTACAGTGACTTTGAATGACCTAAAGTAGTGTGGTAAAGCAACAGATTTGTTTTTATATTTCTGCAATCTACTTAAGTTTGTGTGATTTGTTACTGACTTTCATATTAATGTTTACACCAGACTTATTTAAACATAATTATTACATGCTTGCAAGGTTGGAAGTTCAACAAATCAGTCAATGTACTGTGATTGTAGTTGTTAAATAAAAATGTCATTCATATCAATTCATGCATCACCTAATTTCATCGTAACATATAGGCCTGGCCTACAGAAAAGAACATTTATGTTGAATCTATCTAATGTGTGTTGGTCATACTATACAATGATTTATAGCTTGTCTTTGTTGAATTGGTCATACTATACAATGATTTATAGCTTGTCTTTGTTGAATAATACAGAACAAAGAGCTTTAAAAAAAATAAAATGCATATTAAATCGCAATCGCAATATTGGTAAAAAAAAATCGCAAAAACAGTTATTTTAAACAGTAAATGTTTCAGTTTTTTCTTTACTTTGGATCAAATAAATGCAGGCTTGCTGAGCAGAAGAGACTTCTTTAAAAACATTAAAAATCTTACTGTTCAAAAACGTAGGATTTTTTGCCAGTAAAGGCAGACCTCCTAAATCCTGAAGTGACTCAGTGTAAAGCCACGTTCCATGCATATCTGAGAGCTTCTGAGAAAAATAAATAATATGTAACAGTATAATAAAATACTATACAAAATATACTGTTAATTTACTTTTGCGCTACACTATAAAACTTTGTTGTATTGCGCCTATGTCCTATTGGTCACATATCATCATGTTATCAACATCTGCAGGACAAGAGTTTATCAAACTTGAATTTTTGGAGTGGAAGTGAATAAAGCACAAAGTGCAGTAAACTCCACATTAATAAAAATAATGCTTAAAGGCCATTGAACACACTTCTCTTTTTCTTTTTGCACTTTTCTGTGTTTTCTTCTTCTTAGTCTTGTGGGGTGATGAAGAAGAGTAGGATTCTGAGGAAGATGAGGACTGGAAGGAACTAGAAGGCGAGTTGTCTCTTTTGGTCTTCTTGCTTCCCTTTCTGTACTTCTTCTTTTCTGCTCGCACCTGGTCCTCATCAGAAGAATCTGTGATCACAAGAGACTTCTAGGGCTCTTTTGTTTCTTTAGTTGACAGGGTCAAGATAATTTTTATTAGTGCAGTGCAGTCAAACTATTCCTGAAGCCTCCTGCAGATTTTGAATGTCACCCTTATTGGACACATCCAGCTCAGGTCATGGAGTAGTGTACTAATCAGCAAATGGGTTCATTTAGGTATGAGAAATAAGGGAGACATCAAAATGTGCATTGCTGAGTTTACTCAATAACTCAGGGATGTTCACCAAACATCAAAAATGTACAATACTACTATTACTACTACAACTAATAATAATAATCACATGGACAAATATAAATAGTCAACACCCTAAAACAGATCTCACCATTAGTTAAACTGCTCCGAAGAAAATCCCTCTCATTTTCCATATCTTTGCATTTTTTCTTCAAGGAATTTAACTTTAGACTTCAAAAAACAATTTTCTTCTTTGAGTTTATTGATGGTCCCCTGTTGGGTTGGTGCTTGTGCTGGAATATAAAACAAATCATTTAGAATGTGTCTTCCACGTGTAACCCTTCTATTGGTGTGTGTATTCAGTTGGCGCACAGGAGCCGTCGATCGTCAGAAAGTCAATACATACCAAGTCTAAAGGACTAGAGCTTTGCAAGTGCGAAATGAGAGCAGTCTTTTTCAGAAAGGTCTTTCTGACTGTACAACGTTCACAAGTTTTACAGTATTTTTCAACCTCAGCTTTCATACCTGGCCAGAAAAATCTGTCTCTAATGAGAGCATAGGTCTTATCAAACCCTAAATGTCTACTCTCATCATGAAGAGATGTCAATACCGAGTTACGAAAAGAAGTAGGGAGCACAAGTTGTCGTCTTACCCTATTGTCTGACAAAGGAATCTCTCTGTACAACACTCCCTTTTCCACTACTAAATTTCTCCACTTTTTCTTCAAGAGCTTCAGATCTGGATAGTCAAAATTTACAATACTGGGAAGCTGCTTTTGACTAATGGCTAGCCTCACTTTTCCCAGACAAGCATCCAGTCCCTGAGCCTCCCTCAACTCATTAGAGTCCGAATTCCTCGGCTCATTCTGAGAAAAGGAAACAACATTGCCTAATGCCTTTGACACATTGTCATCAGAAGAATTAGAAGTACGTACCATCCACTCATTAGGACTTTCCTGTTTCTCACATGTTATGACAAGACTGACACAGAGCACGAACTCCAGGAGCTGAAATCTCCTCCCACTCATCATCAGGCGCTACACTAAGAAAGAATCTACATCCACGTTTCTCTTGCCAGGCCTATACTTCAGACTAAAGGTGTATGTTGACAATGCAGACAACCATCTGTGGCCTGTAGCATCCAATTTTGCAGATATCAAAATATATGTCAAAGGATTGTTGTCTGTTCTCACTTCAAAATTGACACCATAAAGGTAGCCATGCAATTTATCATCCACAGCCCATTTGAGAGCAAGGAATTCCAGCTTATGAGCTGTGAAATTCTCCTCTGATGGTGAAAGGCTACGGCTAATAAAGCCAACAGGACGTAAGACCTCTGGATGTTGTTGGTACAAAACACCACCTAGCCCATCTCGGCTAGCGTCTACATGAAGTACGTATGGCAATTGTGGATCGGCAAAAGCCAAGACGGGGCTTTTGTCAAGCAGAGTTTCAGCTCCTCAAAATGCTTTTTCGCATTTGTCATCCCACCTCTCCCCAAAAGGATCAGTTACCTTGAAGTACTCCACAGCAGATGTTTTTTCTGTCTTCCCTCTTCGGACTTGAATGTGGTGGATAACCTTTAAGCAGTTGATTCAACGGATGGCATAATCTTGAATAACCCTTTACAAAGCGCTGGTAATAACTGCAGAAGCCTAAGAAAGATGTTAATTCTGTTACAGTTCTAGGCTTTGGCCAGGTGATCACAGCGTCCACTTTTGATGGATCAGTTGCGATTCCCTCCTGAGACACTACGTGACCAACATAGGTAACAGAGGTTCTGCAGAACTGGCATTTGTCAAGGGATAGCTTCAAACCTTCTTCTCTTAACCTGTCCAGAACCTTGTGCAACCGTTCTTTATGTTCTTCTGTAGTTCTGCCAAAGATGATCAGGTCATCAAGATACAC